AAAAATGAAGAACAATGAAAACCACCTGTATTTAGTAACATATGAATAGATGAAGGAAGCATATGCTTGAATGGGTGAAATTCACTGAAAAAGTAAGTGTTTTTGTAAAATCAACCATACATTTTTTCAAAAGTCTAAATTTTAACCATTTATGTATGGAAAAATGAGGAGAAAATTAACAAGGTTGGGATTCCACTAATGAAATTATCTGTCTCATGGAAACAGCCATACAATTTCAGCGCTCATATGTGTGGCCCATTTTGGAAATATCAGTACCAAAGACTGGTTTAAAAAGTCAACAAATCATTTCTAAACATCCAACACTCTGGTGCTGCATGTAATATTGGCTAACATACCCACCCATCACTTCTCATCTACTGATGTAGTCTGGTCACTTTGTATACGTCCTCCTCTGTCTTCTAGCAAAGGCATTTATCACTTTTACAAAAGATCTGTCTGAATCTCCTTCTTATCATTTGATCCAACGGAACTTCCATGTAGCTCTGAGATAACACCACATGTGTTAACTCTGTCAACCAGGTGGTTCTCAGCCAGGACTGCAAAATCAACTAGAAACCTCTGGAAGAGCCCAAGCCCACGGTACAGTGACACCAGGGGAAGCAGAACCTATTGGGCTCGGAATATCTAGGCCTCAACTGTATGAACACTTCCTAGGCCCCCAGGGATCTGCTCTTGTATATCAAATCTAGAAAGAAAAAGATCTTATTATAATGTGAATGTAGGGCAGAATGAAACTGAAAGCAATGCTTGCCTTCCTTTCCTATATTTTTTAATTCCTTTTCTATCTGTAGACATTCATCTCATCAAATCATAGTGATCAAAAGCAACACTCGACAGCAATGATCCGAGTCGTGGTCAGATCCTATGTAGCTACTCAGCTCACCCAGACACAATTCTAAACTCAAAATGTCAGTTCTTCAGGTCACACAAAATAGGCATCTGATATTAAGACAAAATTTGTAGTGTTCCACCATAAAAACTAAAGCTCAGTTGATAAATCAGCAGTTACACAAAGAGCAAAAAGTGAAAACGTAAATTTAGGTCACAGGAACAAGACTAGCCCGACTGCCAGTGCAAGCAATCACCTGAGAGACCTGAATTGCTTGACTTGGTAAAGCAACAGTCAGAGAAAGAACGAAGGAGTGGACTGTAAATAACTATTTACATAAGCGCACGACACACTTCTAAATAATAACACATTATGTACGACAGTTATCTAATAGAAAAGTGATAATCTAGGTTCAAAGTTCAGGTGAAATCATTTTGAAATTTTATTTGCTCTCAAAAATATTTATATTCTGCAAAGCAGGACACTGCAATAGAAGTTTTAAAGGCACGTTTACCCTCAGGCTGTCCCTCCTATGAGTCAAATTCTGTGTTCTCTAACTAGGTAACGTATGGGAACAGCACCTGCAAGATGACACTCAGACTCGGGATCCTTAAACCAGTAGATGCCAAGCATGCAGTGCTTTTTCTCATGGATATCTGGCATGTCAAAACAAGCGACAGAACCACCGGCAATTACCAAAGTAAGAAATATGCGAATGAGTTCACCCTGGAGAGAAGGACTCAAATTTATTTTAGATGACTGAACAGCAAATGGGACAACACGTAGATGCTCACCTCACACTCATTTTGACTAACCAATTATTTGAAGGATTAGTAAACACATAAATCTATAAATAATTACAAAAGTTTACCTGTAAAATTAAAAGTGTGTTGCTTGAACATAACATTTTTATCTTTTCAAGAATTCTTAGCAACCAAAATGCAGCATATGTAAAAGAAAATATTCAAATGAAAATCGCACGTCAATAATAAGCTTTGTGATTTTGTGTCTTAGAATAGCTTACATTTAATATTGTCAGCCAACCTGAATATTTAGAGCGATGTTTCTCATACTCCTATTTTATATCAGAAGCATAACTTTAAAAAATCCGCACACAAAGAGGGGAAGTGTTGCCATCATTTCACTTCTTCATTTACGTAATAACACAGCTTGACTGTGAGGCTCTTGCTTCTCATTTTTCTGTAAATTACTTCCTATATGTTCAGTTTTAAAAATCAAAATATTTCCAGGAATATTATAAACATTCTTGGGCCCAAATAATTTCTACAATTTGTTACAAAACAAAGGCTTTTCCAAAGTAAATCTAAGCTGTGTTTGACTTTCAATTGCAGTGAGTTCAAGGCACTAGAATATATTAAGTCTATCTTAAAGTTGTTAGAATAACTTTCCAAAATTCACTTAAAACAGTCTGAGCCCAAATGAAACGTAACCCATTTTAGATTTCACATGTGTATATAATGTGACAATTTTTAGTGAGGAAAACTATAAAACTAAAAAGGTATGCATTCTAACTACAAAAAATTAGAAATCAGTGCATTATTTATTTAATTACATAAGTGTAACTGTGTCAATATGCCTCAGCCAGAATATGAATTCCACTTACTATAATGCACTAGTGATACTTTTGTAAACTATTTTACAAGTAGTTAAAATGATATGTTTACAAACTATTTTATGATTATATTAACAATGACATAAATATAATGCATTTACTTTTAATAGAGCCTGTGACTTTGCAGCTGACTTGAAAAGGAAAAATTCTGAATAGAAGTTTTATCTCAAAGACTTGATAATGATCATTTCAGAACTGTCAGTACATTTGGAATAAGTTAAAGTGTTCATAAGGAGGCTCAGAAACACACGTAACATTTTAAGCCATAGAGTGCGACTTGCATAGAGCTCATGATTGTGTATGCGGCTTACTGAGAATCACTGAGAAGCGGTTCACCAAACTAAGGAACGATGTTTTTATTACATCTGCAGGTAGACCGGTTTAATTATGACTCTTCAACTAAGAGTTCTAACATCACAATTATGAAGCTTCAATTTTGACATCATTTGTCTTGAAATAAATGTTTTAAACTGGCAAACAAGAGTATCAAAAGAAAAGTGCAATCTACACGACATCACAGATAATAAATTTCATGCTGTGAAAATGAAAAATGTGAATGCCTCTGGTAAATTTTCTATGAGGAAAAAGTGAGGTGCTAACATTTTCATGATATTCTTCTGTATACACGGTCAGCAACTCCTGTCTTGTACAAAAATACAGTCATGCTTCAAAGACTAAACAAATGCAGTTAACTCACACTGTACATTTTATGGTGTGCAGCTAACAGTCAACCCACTACAGGCAGAAAGGAAACATGGTATTTTAGTCTAGACCTCTCAGTGACATGTATTGCACATGGCTATTTGAAACTATCCTGCTGCCTGTTGACCATGCAGGTTATCTGGCAAAAAATGAAACTTTACAAATTGAAAGTATCTAAAAACATGTAGAGGCCTCACATGCAGGAAATAATTAGATTATTGCAAGATACCACTCTTCAACATACATTGCCAAAATGTAGGCTATATGTGCAGACGTTATTAGTAACAGTAAGAAAGAGCAATTTCTTTATCTCTATATTTTCCATGTAAAACATCTTGTTAAAATAAATTATACAATATGTACAGTAGAAATTCATTTCTATCATTACGTTTAATGCTCTGGTAGGAACTCTGGTGATATGGTGAAAAATGGGAAGGAGTGGTTAGAATCAAATCATACAAGGAAACAGAATTCTGAATTGACATCATAATTTGGAATTCCCATTTTCAAATATCTAGTTTCTGACCCTAAAGGATGATCTTAAAGAAAAATCTATTTGAATCAGCTTAATTGTCAATAGGACAAGTGATAAAATGTGAAATATGATCCCTGAACTATTTGAATCAGAAATGACATATCCCTTAACCCAGTTATCTTATGAAAGCTCTATGCATCATCGCAGCTTCCCAGTACAAAGAAAGTCGGGCAGTATTTTGTGTGCGGCTAAGGAAATAGAAAAAATAAAGAGCAAATGAGGTGGATTGCTTCTTTTATAAAGCAGTAAAATTGTGTACTGTCTACAGATTGACTCTCATAACAATTCATTGCTTCTTCCCTACTAAAAAAAAAAAAAACCCACTACAGCATGGTCCCCAAGCACAGCTCTGCAGGGCTACAATCAGCACCATGGACAGGGGCACCCTTTGCAGAACAGGTGCCCCATTCAAAGCTCCATTCTCCTTTAGCAATATGCAAGTCATTTATTACTGAACAGAAAATGCTCAGATAGAAATTACCAAATATTTTAGCAAATTTTACGTCATAGCATCATGAATTTGTCACTTAGCAGTTCTGAAGGGCATGCTGAAAATCCAAGCTAATTACATAAGGTATTCGATAAATAAAACAACATTGCTATCATCTCCAGCCACCTGATTATAATTTTCCACTCCACTCATGCTAAATCTTGCACCAATAATTACTGAAATAGACTAGAGAAGCCAAGAAATCTACGGAGAATAAATCCACTCAGGTAGGCCCCCAGAGTTTCCAAAGCGGCCTGAACGACATTCCTGCTGTTGTTGCTTTTCTTGCACAAACAACCACAAACACTTTCCTTGTTCCTCTGCTCCAACAAGTTAATGATGTCACCAACAGAGTCCCTGTGTCAGAGACAGGTGCCACACCACACACTTCAGTCTCCCTGACTCACTCCTCCACCCGTGGTGCTCAGTGGGCAGCCCACTGTGTCTTCCTGGCCTGCCCTGCTCACATGCCATTCCTGACTCCGTGTAGCATGGTTACAGCCAACTGCACAGCTGTGAGAAATGAGAAAACACCACCTTCCTCGCCCGGAAGACCAGGGACATTCCTGATCCTCCAAGGATTCCCAGGGAAACGGAAAACATCAGCGCATCAGCAATGCCCCAGGCACCATGGACAGTAACAGCAGGTCAGCCCCTAGAACCACACACACACCCCTACTGATGTCGCAAAACCACAGCCAAAGAGAAAACCGCGACTTGCAAACACCTGCAGTGAAGCAAACAGGGCCAGGCAAGGGAGACGAGGGGCGGGGGTCAGCCCCGTGCCTACCTTGCAGTCTTCTGGGCAGGACTTCACCGAGTACTCCTGCGACTGTAAGTACTTGTGGAGCACGCTCTCAAACTCCTCGTACTTCTCCTGCGCGTGGTGGTCGTAGTCTTGGTACGCCTCGACGCACTGTCGGCAGGTGGTCATCTCGCCGCCTTCCGTGAGCACCACATCCAGACTGCAGTTCAAAGTGTTGGGGCTGGACAGCCCCGAGAACAACTCCCAGAGTGTGTAGGAATTACAAAACGAAAGGTAAAAATCTGACAAGTTCCAGAGCGGGGCCGCCTGCTTGCCCCTGGCCTGCTGCTCCTCCCCCGCGGCCGCCACCCCCTGACTCCAGTTCCTGGCGCACACGGCATCCGCGCTCTCCACGGTGAAGCACTGGCCCGACGAGGCGCCCTGTGGGTAACAAGTCTCCAGGCGCCACACGGGCTTGGCAGAGTTTCCTAGAAAAAGAGCTTTGCTCCGCTTGCTTTTGCCTCGGGTGCCCTTGCCGCCGCCGTCTCCCGGGGACGGGGGCAGGGTGGGGGACGAGGAGGCGGAGAGCAGTCGGTGTGCCTGGGTGGCCGGCGAGGACTCCCCCATGCTGGCCAGCAGCGCGGGCCAGGAGGGCTCCTGCTGCCGCTGCCGCTGTTGCCGCTGCCGCTGCCTCTGCTGCTGCTGCTGCTGTTGGTGCTGGTGCTGGTGTTGCTGCTGCTGTTGCTGCTGCTGCTGCTGCTGCTCCTTGTCCCGGGTGCGGGTCAGTTTGGCCTCGGCGCAGAACCACAAGTGATCAGAGAGCAGGACTGTGAAAAACAAGAGAGATGCCAGAGACAGTCGCCATTTCTGAGCCCTCTCGGAATCGATGAACGGTTTCTCGTTCTCCCGGGGTGCTGCCAACCAGATTTTTAAGCCGTCGTCATACTGCCGACACATCCAAGCACCCCTGGTCATATTTTGGGAGCGCACAGCCCTGGCCGACTCCACCGTGAGGGCTCCGCTGCCGGTGGCACCACAATATGCATTGACTTAAAGGGTTTAATTTCCTTATCCCCTCCTCCCGTTTCTTCTCTCCCTCTCTCTCCTCTCTCTCTCCCTCTTTCCCTATCTCTGCTCTCTCTCTCCCTCTCTCTCTCTCTCTCCTTCTCTCTCCTCCTCCCCCTCTCTGTCTACATAAATATTACCAGGCTTTGGAGGAAAATCTGACTCGCTTCCGACCTAATCATCAACCGACCCCATCTCTGTAGAGTGGGGAAACAATAATGCAGAGAGGAGGGGGAGAGAGAGAGGAGAGAGAGGGAGAGAGGATGAGGGAGAGAGAGGCCGAGGAGGCCGGCGCTTGGCTGGCCGCGCCGGGGCCGAGTGCAGGAGGCGATGGTGGAGCGAGCGTGTGGCTGGCGCGGCTGCTCTCACCCCGGCATCGTCAGCGCGCGGGTCCCCATGGCCCCGCCGAGTTCTGCCCGCTCTCCCCCGCCGGGGGCATGCCGCGTCTCCGCTGCCCACAGACGGCGACCGGAGCGCCTCCCCTCCTCCGCTCCTCCTTGTCCTCCTCCTTCCTCTCCTTCGCCCGGTCCTCCTCCTCCTCCTCCTCCTCCCGCTCCTACTCGGCGCTGCCTCTCCCGGCGTCCGGAGCCTGGGCAGCCGCGGGCCGCGCGCGCCCTCCGCCCCACCCCGCGCCCCGCGTGCCAGCAGCCGCAGGTCTGCCCGCGGGCGCCGGGGCCCCGGCCGCTGACGCCGCCTCCCGCGGAGCGCGGGGCCGAGTCGCCTGGGCTGGGCCTCCCGAGACCACAGTCATCTTCAGTGCCCGGGCTAAGTTGCCGCCATCTTCGTCCTGGAGAAACACTTTTTTGGGGAGAGCGCTGGCTTTTGCGTCATCTCCTCCCGCGTCGTGCTCGCTCCATCCTGGCGCAGTGGCGGCTTGGCCACGGGAGGAGGGCGAGGACGCGCGGGGCGGCCGCCCAGGGGCCCCGCCCGGCCGTCTGGGCTGGGTGCCTGCTCTTCGCTTCCTCTACCCCCTCCCCACTTCTTTCTCTCTCTCTCTCTCTCTGTCTCTCTCCCCCCCCCCCCCTCCTCTCTCTCCCCAAAAAGTCCGAATGAGGACCATGCCTGGCGGGGGATGCGGATATCTGCAGCACCTCGCCCGCCCTGGGTCTCTGGAAACAGTCCGCCTCACGGGCTAGAGGTTTGAGGTTTCTTTGGTGACAGGGATCTGAGGACAACCTGCGTCTGTCCTGGGGAGAGAGAGGCCAAGGAGGCTGACAGGGGCAAATGTGGTCTCCAAGGGGAAGGCTGGGAGGGGGCCGAGGCCGTGACACCCAGTGTCTGCGACTACGCCTGGGCGTCCCCGGAACGCTAGGCAATCGCTGGGTCCAGCACTAATTATATGGAGTGCAGTGTGTGTGTGTGTGTGTGTGTGTGTGTGTGTGTGTGTGTGTGTGTGTGTGTGTGTGTGTGTGTGTGTGTGTGTGTGTGTGTGTGTGTGTGTGTGTGTGTGTGTGTGTGTCTGCAGATCCAGCCACGTGGCGGTTACATGTCCATTGAATTTGTTGCATTTTTGCAGCTACAGGCAAGTGTATGCCAGCCACACATGAGTCACCGCTTTCATGCTGGAAAGTCAAGGATGACAAGTGGCCTTGTCCAGCCTTAGGAAAAAGCTGGGCCACTTGCACTGCCCAGAGTCCCAGGTCCAAGTGAGACCTCTCCACCATGGAGGAGGCAGCCTCGGGTAGCGAGTGTCCCTGGGTCCTGTGTCTGCTCTGTTCCCTAGCCCGTGTGAGTGGGCTTGCTGCCCCAGGACACCCGCAGCCCTGGCGAGCTGGGCCACCAGGGAGGCTCCGCCGCCGCTGTAGCCCGGGTCTCTGGTGCCGCTTAGTGTTAGGGAAGCGACAAGCAACACTGGTGTATAGCAGGGTCTTCAGAACTGGGGCACAGGGCTGCCTCCTTGGGTATCTGGGAGCTGCTCTCTTGGCCCCATTCCCGCCAAGCTAGGGGCGTGGGGAGCGCACGCGAACTGGCAGACACACTTGCAGCTTCCACAGTGTAGCTTAAAATGTTGCTCCTCTACAGGAGCTGGCACTCTCTCCTCTGTCTGCCCAGGCCACCGGGCTCTGCCCGGGAGCACCTTCCCTTGGACCTTAACAGGTGCTCTGGTTTTGAACACATTCCATGAGAAGCCAAAAGGACAACTCATCGGGATGCGTGTTCTTCTTGGAGGACGGTGGGAGAAGCGGGCGTGAGAGATGTGTGCACTTTGAAGATGTAAAGGGCGGGATCCCCTCACGTGAATCCTTCCGCAGCGTGGTAGGACACACAGACGTTTTAAAAACTAAGTTCAAAGTAGCACAAAACTGAATGTCAGCCGCGCCAAAACACCTGAGTTCGGATTCCTGGCTGGTTTCCATGGAAATGGCATATGTTGTTTTAAAACCTAATTTGTATATAATTTTGATAATTTTTTGGCGTGCTGAATTTCTTACTGAAATCCAACTTGTTCTTTTTTATATTTCACGCAAAACATTATTTGGTAACCACACTGTGAACCAGCCAACAATCTGTACTTAATGAGAAATAAGCTAAACATGTGTAGCATTTATGTATACATTTATGTGGACATACATAATTAGCATCATTAGCAGATGTGTGAATGTATAGAAAATTCTACAAAGAAAATATTGAAAGCCATTACTTCCATTTTGCAGTTTGTCTACAGCAAATGTACGTTATATCATGAACCCCTTATTTTGTTCTATCCATTGATGAAGAAGTTTAATACAATATACTAGATAACACAGTTTCCCTTTAGTTTCCCATTGTTGCCATCAATCAGACACACTCATGTTATTGCCATGTTGGATTTTTGTTTTTTTATTCTGGGTGTATCTTATGGAATTCAGAAATCCAAAACTAGAGGACATAGAAGAAATCTACTTCATATAAAGAATAAAAGCTCAAAAATTCCCAACAAAGGAAAGAAGTTAAAGCAGAGATCTGTTTTTTTCTTTTCATTTAATAGAGGCAGTCAAGTCAGCTTCAGACTATCTAACACCGCTTGACAGTCTTACACAGTAACTTAAACAGTACCGCAAGGCAGGACACCGAATCGGAACTTCCAACAACTCGATCTCTCTCTGTTGTATAGTGGCAGCAACTGAGTTAGGCAGGACTGGGATGAAAGACCAGAGCTGGCCACTGGAAGCTTAGTGACGGTCCAGATGACCAACCATCACCATGCAGTGGTGAGTTCTGAACATCCATGATCCTTCAGACTGCAGAGAAGAGAAGTGAGACCCTGAGAAGGAGTGGGATGGGCAGGGACTGAGGACATTGTTGGGATTCATAAACGATGCTCGCCAGGAGTGGACAGGACACAATCTGGGTGAATCAGAGCATTCAGCGACTGAGGAGCTGGAAGGACATCAGAGTGCCAAGTCAAGGGATCCATGCAGATTGTGGAAGCATGTTATTTGCGTGGCACAGGAGCAAGGAAGGGGTCTGAGAAAAGATCCTGGATTGCATCGTGGGCCCTGCTCTTACAGCAAGCACAGGAGTCTGGAATTTACTCTGAAGTAGACTGGGTCACATACGGAAATGTAAATCTTGATTTGAATGTTTGCTTTCATTGACATAGCTGCTAAAGTCAAGATGAGAAATACCTTCAGACAGAGTGCTAGCTATCTTAATAAATGTTAATTCTTGTTAGTTTATCAGCTAAAAATATTGTACAGCAGAAAGGAAGAGCACAGGCTTGCAGATTTGATTTATCAGAGAAAGCAAAAGACTTTAGAAACTCCTCCAGAGTTTGAGCCGAGTGTGCCCACCAGTACGGAGGAGTTGAACAGCAGTGCACATTTCAGAGGGCTGCTGAGGAGGACACAGCGGTAAATGCATTACAGAAAGGAATCTGGCAGCAGCGTGTGGCACACAGCAAAACAATGCAGAAATGAGCTCGTGTGCATACTAGTCAAGATGTCATCTCTGTGGCCATTCTGTCAGGATGCCAGGCTCCTATTTGATTATACGTATTTCAGGAGAATCTGTATATTTATTCTTATTGAGATCACTACATTTGTTAGAAAATGCATTTCTTTATATATCACAAAATAATGCAATTTCTCTTCTCAAAAGCTTGTCTATTCTTCATAGTTAATTTTTGCCAATATTTTTGCAATAGAAGAGATTAGTGGAGAATTAAGCTTGTGAACAGAGACCAGATTAAAATTATGTCTTTGCAAAAACTGATAGAGGGGAGCGAGGAGTATTGGGGCAGAAGGGGAGAATGAGGTAAGTATGGTTGTCTTCTTGGAGCTATACCTATGAAATGCACAAACGCCATTCCCTTTTATATTAGTAAAATTTGTTAAGAAAAGTAGTCATATCAAGAAACACTTTCTTCTCCAATGCAATCCATTGTTCATAGTCAACTTCAAACCAAGTAACAAGAGATATTTCCTGTGTTTACTCAAATGTCATCTGCATGCATGGAAATTGGCAAATCTTTTGGGGCTGTTCTTACACCCTGTTTGTGCACTACTCATAAATGAAAATACATTACGCTCTTATATACTTGTAAATCTGGAAAAGGGAATTTTGTGTTTTCAGAAATCATACACTATGGGTCGGGCGCAGTGGCGTAGCAGCTTAATTCCTCACTTTGAATGCGCCGGAATCACATATGGGCACTGGTTCTAACACCAGCAGCCCCACTTCTCATCCAGCTCCCTGCTTGTGGGCTGGGAAAGCAGTTGAGGATGGCCCAAAGCCTTGGGACCCTGCACCCACTTGGGAGACCCAGAAGAGCTCCTGGCTTCGGATCGGCACAGCTCCGGCCCATTGTAGTCACTTGAAAAGTGAATCATCAGATGGAAGATCTTCCTTTCTATCTTCCTCCTCTTTATATATCTTAGTAATAAAAATAAATCTTAAAAAAAAGAATTCACACAGTATGTGAAAATTCCTGACTTGCATATTTATAGTTTAAAAATAAAATAAGCCCATGGAGTTCATAAAGAACAGTCTAGAGGCATGCACTGTGTCACAATTAGTCAAACCACAGCTGTCACATACTGGCATGCAATAATTCCCACCCAGCTGGTGGAC